ATCACAAACGAAAAAAATGGAGGACAAAAAGCAACTGGACATAGAGTTCAAAACCACCCTTATAAGGTTTTTCAAGAATTTCCCAGAAAAGGCCAAGAAAATAAACGAGACCTATGAGGATATGAAAAAGGATCAACTAGAAATAATAAGGGATCAACTAGAAATAAAGAATACATTGTCTGAAATAAAAATGTTATACAGAATCCTAAAAACAGAACAGAAGATCGCAAGAATCAAATCAAAGATTTGGAACACAAAGACCCAGAGGACACTCCTCCGCAGAAGCAAGAAGACAAGAGAATCCAGAAAGTTGAAGATAATGTAAGAAACCTCTGGGACAACTTCAAGTGAACCATCAGAATTATGGGGTCCCAGAAGAAGAGAGAGAGAGCAAGATACCAAAAACATACTGGAAGAAATAGTGACAGAAAACTTCCCCCACCTGGTGAAAGAATTAGACTTACAAGTCCAGGAAGCACACAGAACCCCAAACAAAAGGAATCCAAGGAGGACCACACCAAGACATATCATAATTAAAATTCCAAGAGCAAAAGACAAAGAAAGAACATTAAAAGCAGCAAGAGAAAAGCAGGTAGTTACCTATAAAGGAGCACCCATATGATTGTCAGCTGATTTCTCAACAGAAACCATGTAGGCCAGACGGGAATGGCAAGAAATATTCAAGGTGATGAATAGCAAGAACCTATAGCCAAAAATACTCTACCTAGCAAAGCTATCACTCAGAATTGAAGGCCAAATAAAGAACTTCACAAATAAAAAAAAACTAAAGGAGTTCATCACTGCCATGAATTGCTGAAGGCGGTTCTTTAGGAAAAGGAAGAAAATAAAAGATAAAAATTATGAACAAGAAATACGTAACTATCAACAAGTGAATCTAAAAACCAAGGGAATTAAAAAATCTGATGAACAATATTAACTGGTGAATATAATAGAATCAGAGGCATGGAAGGGGAGTGAACTAACGATTCTTGGGGAAAGGGGAAATGGGGGGTGTGGGAAGAGACTGAACATAAACTGTGCACCTATGGATAAGGACAATGGGGGGTGGGGAAAAGACAGAGGGTGGGGTGGGAACCTGGTGAAGGGGAGCATAGAGGGAGCATAGAGGAGCATTTGTAATAATATGAACAATATTTATTTTAAAAAATAAATACACAATACAATGGTTTTAGTATATGCACAGAGTTGTGCAACCATCACTATAATTTTAGAACATTTTATCTTCCCCCAAAAGCCTTGTACTCACTTGCATCATTTCCCAGCAGGGGAGGGCAGTTAGGGGCGACCAAGCCAGCAAGGGAGGGCAGTTGGGGCGACTGGACTGGCAGGGGAGGGTAGTTGGGAGGTTACTGGACTGATAGGGGAGAGCATTTGGGGTGATCGGGCCAGCAGGAGAGGACAGTTGGGGCTGACCAGGTCAGCAAGGGAGGGCAGTTAGAGGTGATTGGGCCAGCAGGGGAGGGCAGTTCAGGGCAACTGGGCCAACAAGTGAGGGCAGTTGGGGGCAATTGGGCCGGCAGGGGAGGGCTGTTGGAGGCTACTGGACTGGTAGGGGAGGACAGTTGGGGGTGACCAAGCCAGCAGGGGAGGGCAGTTGAGGGCAATTGGGATGGCAAGGGAGCAGTTAGACTGGCAGAGGAGTGGTTAGGGGGTGACCAGGCTGGCAGACAGACAAGCAAACGATTGGGAGCCAACACTCCCGGGTTTTGAGAAGGATGTCTGAGATTGGAGACGGTGCAGGCTGGGCTGAGGGACACCCCCCGCACCCCAGTGCATGAATTTCGTGCACCAGGTCTCTAGTAAATAATAAAAGCCTAAACGCTAAGTGTCCAGTCGTTTGTTCAGCCAATCAAAGCGTAATATGCTACTGATATGCTAAGGCTGCTCAACCACTCACTACGATGTGCACTGACCATCAGGGGGCAGACAGTCAACTGGTGGGTTAGCTTGCTGCTGGGGTCCAGCTGATCAGGGGTGAACAAGATGGGCTGCACATGCCCTGGAACCCTCCTACAGTCCCTCCCAAGCTGACCAACCTCTCGCATTCCTCCCTGGTAATGATCATGCACCAGTGGGGTCCTTAGCCTGGCCTGCACTTCCTCACAATCCAGGATTCTTCAGGGGATATCAGAGAGCCGGTTTCAGCCCAATCCTGCAGTCCAGGTTGAGGGATCCCACTGGTGCACAAAGTCATGCTCTGGGCCTCTAGTTGCCAAATAATATTCCACATATGAATATACCACATTTGATTATCCATTCTTCACTTGATAGACATGTATACTGTTTCCACTTTTTGGCTATTATGAACAATGCTGCTATAACATTCATGTACAAATTGTTGTGTGAACATATCTTTTTCTCTTCTCTTGAGTATTAGATACCTAATAAAATTTCTCGGTCATATGGTTGTGGTCAACATTTTGAGGAACTGTCAGACAATCCAGTGCCAATTTTTAAAATAACACACACATGAAGTAAACCCTGTGATCCAGCAATTAGTAAAATTACTAAGTCTAATAATCTTTCCTATAGAAATAAAGATTTACAAAGTTGATTATTATAGTATTGCTTATAACATCATAAGACAGACAATGAGACAAGGAAAAAGAATAACAGTTTGAAATTGAAATAGTCTAAAAAGACAAGTATTAAGTAAGATGTATAATCCTGGACCAAGTATTAAGTAAGATGTGTAAGGACAGGACCAGAAAGGTATTATATGTTTTTGACTTTTTTTCTGGTAAGATCAATTGAGATAACCATTGATATCCATATGACTGCTCATCAAAAAGGGGATCTTTAGATAATTCACAGTATATCTATAAGTGAATATGATGTAACTATTAAAAAAATTTGTATTTATTTCTTAGTTTATATATTATTTCCTCCTGATACTTAGGTCACGAGCATGTTAAACAACTCTTCTGTAGAATCTTGCAGCCAACATTTTTATCATATTGTATTAAAACTGCCTGTTACTTAGATGTTAGGTTAAAAAAACAACAACAATATTTCCTGAAAGATATAAAAGTTAAGAGGAAGGATGAACAAGCCTAGGAGAGAAGAGAGGAAAAGGTGGAGGACAAGATTAATAAGCAATGGGGAAGCTATAAGCAAAAGTCAGAGGCAGAGAAGCAAAGGGAACTGAAAACATTCAGTTCTACCAACAGCTTAAAATGTAGTGATTGTGGTGCTAGAGGCAGGGAACAGGATGAAGTGATAAGAGATGAAACTGACCCTAGCTGGTGTGGCACACTGGATAGAGCATTGGCCTGTGGACTGGAGGATCAAGGGCACATGCCCGGGTTGTAGGCTCGAATTCCCAGTGTGTGGCATGCAGGAAGCAGCCAATCAATGATTCTTTCTCATCACTGAAGTTTCTCTCTTTCCTCCCTTTCTCTCTAAAATCAATAAAAAATATTTTTTTAAAAAAAGAAATGAAGCTGAAAAGTAGAAGCCAGCTCATGAAAGGACTCAAGAGACATGAACCTCATGTTGTTACCGGAGAGTCACAAAGATGTGAGAAAAAGTGTGGTTATTGACTGAAGAAAGAAAAGGATAAGTTGACAAACTATTACAAGGTTGTGGTGAGGGATGATGAATAGCCTTAGAAAGGAGAATGTGAATCAAGTAGAGAATTAGGAAGAGTTCACTGGATTTGGTGATTGGGTGTGAGGTACAGCTGAGGAAATAGTCATGACTAAAACAGTTTAAAAACATAAATGATAAACAGGAGGTGACCTAAGTGACATTATAGGGGCAGTCATAATGCTAACTTATTTATCAACATGTTGGAGAATGCCTGGCAAAGAGATTTTAAAAATAAGAAAAGGCAGATTGTCAAGAGGGCTGACTTTATTTTTCCATAATTATGGAGTAACTACAATAGCCTTCTATGGCACTCAATACAACTTTGAGTATTGTTCTCCAATCATACTCTGAATAAATGAGCAAATACAACCTGAAGTGAGCACAAACAGGGAGCCATGCTTGCAATGAGAATGATAGGGGAAACTACAGTCTCAGTTATATTCTTTTTTCACATGTTAGCATTTCACCAAGTAATTATAATATTAATATAACTTTTGAACAATGTAAAACTTAACCAAAATTTATTACTTCATCTGGTATTTAAGTGAAGAAATATTGATCTGAGGAATTCCAGTCTCTAATACAAGACATATATGACTTATGTAGGAACCACATCTTACTCTCCTAGATCCTTAAATTTTTTAAAACTTTCCATCGTTCTTCAAAAAAGATGGTCTATTATGGAACAGATTGTCATATCACAAATGGAAGGTGGGGTGGATGCATTGGTGGGAAAAGACCAATCAAAGAACTTGTATGCATATAAGTATAACCCATGGAAACAGACAATATGTAGTGAAGGCCTGAGGTAGGGGGCAGGGAAGGTTAGAAGGGTCACTGGCAGAGGGGGACATATGTAATACTTTCAGCAATAAAGATTTTTTTTAAAAGCATGTGCTATAAGAAAATGAATGTTTCTCTCCTTAAAATTTTCTGCTCTTCACCTTAATATATGCAGCCTACAGATTTTAAAATAAATTTTCCAATTAAATATTGTTTCCTTGGTTAAGGCACAAAGAAATCTGGCTATACTTCAGGTTTTCCAAAGCCATACTAAAATGGTAATGCAAAATAGGATAAAAGTTGGCAACTAAAGTGACTCAATTTTTCAATACAACTTCCTCTGTCATTTAAAAAGAATTGGCTCAGTACTTCTGATAGCAACCTTAAGCCATTTAAATCATCAGAAAGTGGGAAGTGCTAAAGTTTATTTCCCACAGCATTGAGCAAGTCCTACATAATGCATAATCAATTGATACTTGTTAAATATTTAATGAGTGTATCTGTTGTTACCAGTTAAATTAAAAGTCTAGGATAATAATGCTTTTATTAAAATTTACCCCTTATAAAACTTTGAAAATATAAATGAATCATTTAACAAAACTTACCTGCTACTGTGAGCTTAGCTGTTCTGCTGACAATAGTTCCAAGACTCTCAACAGTGGCCACACATTGATAATAACCTTCATCAGGTTTATTGTGTTTGGAATGCACCACATTGCTGATAAATAAAGACCCATCTGGAAGAAGCTGGCGTCGATCATCTGATACTAAATTTAAAAATGTTCCATCTTTTTTCCATTCAATTTTTGGAGAAGGCTCAGAATATGCTGAACAATTTAATACAACAGAAGAGCCTCTAATTGAGAGTGTATCCATTGGCTCCACCAGAAAATAAAATGGAGTGAATGTTCGAATGCTGGATCCTACAAAAGTAATAAAATAAAAAAAGAACAAAGTTATGAAAAACTTTCTTCTACTATTTCAGTAAGAAAATATGTGTCCAAAATTATTTACAAATAGTTATGTTTTGGGGGTATGATAATCAATATAGTCATTTTGCTATGAATATCTAATAAATAAATATTATCTTTTACTAGGAAATCAAAATTTGAGACATTTAGAAGAACATTAGAAGAATGATCCAAAATAGTCATGGAGGAGGTGGACATTATACTCATCTCTTCCCATGTCCAAACTGTAATTACAACTAAACTTTAGAACAATCACACTGAATAAACATCTGAAGACTAGCTGAAAAGAAGTCTTATTACCAAGGATTTACAGAAGAAGCCACACTGGTTGGAAGGGCAGAAAAGCGAAAAGAACCGGCCATCTCAGCTGCAAAGGCACCCATGAGGAGCATGTGGTCTCAACCCAAAGCCAGGCTCCCCAGCCCAGAGCACCAGAGCTGGGAAGAGGAGCCCACATAACATCTGGCTGTAAAAATCAGCAGGGATTCTGTCTACCAAGGAGAAACAAGAGTCTGCTAGAAACCCAAGCACCTTCTTAAAGGGCCGAGGCACAAAATTTTATTTGAGGCCACTCACGCCAGGCTCCAGCAAGGGAGGGCAGATAGGAGCAAACTAGAATCCTGTAAAGGAGAGACTGAGTTATGTGAAGGGAGAAAGAGAGGGAGGGGAGAGGGAGGAGGAGGGGGAGAAAGAAGGAAAGAGGGAGGGGGAGGGGAGGAAGAGAGGGGATAGAGGGGGAGAAGAGAGAGAGCACGTGCAAAAGGGACAGGTGCCAGAGTCCTTATGCTGAGTCCCTCCCCATATTGCCCACAGATGCCATATTTCAGGGTGACCACTCCCCTCTATACCACATCAGCCTGAAGAAATGCACTTGTCTCATCCTCCCAACTTGCAGTCATCCTGCAATGCCAGGCTCACACCTGTGTGGCCTGTGGTGAAGACTTTCTTGAAAGACTTTTGAAGAAATCCAGGCATACTGGAGGAGAGACTGAGTTTGTGTGCTTCCCAAGTAGGAGCCATTTTTCCCTTACACTATTGATAGATGCCACCATTCCTATGAAAAGCCCTCACCACACATGGCCAAATCTTGTATGTTTCGGCCTGATGAACTCTGTTGCCTTCCACAAAGACCCATGGGCACCCAATGGGTGGCAGCTGGCCTTGTATCCTAAGACTTTTACTGAGTGGCCTCAAAACCAGCACCAGTGCTGAGGTTGAATCTGTATCAATCTAGTGACCATTCATTCCTACCTGGTGATGCACTGAAAACTACCTCATGCAATTCATGTACCACCAGATGCTCTTTAAGTGACTGAACCTAACAGGCAATGAGAAAAATGCAGTTATTAGGGTGCTTTGGATCTTTTACAGACCAGTTCCCAGGCTCTGTACTGATGTAAGAAAATGTTGGTGGGTAGGTTGGCCCCTCCCATGCATTCTGATTCTAGCAAAAGCAGCCATAAAGTGTAGATTGGTTTATAGCTCCAAACAGGTGGCCCAGGGACAGTCACAGGCAGTGCCTGACACTGACTTGCCCCAGAGTCCCTCACAAGAGGCCCCAGAACAACACACCTGATGACAGACATCAGACCATATCAGATCATACTCTATTAGCTCCACAAGCAGCATACCCAAAGATTTCAGCTCATACCAGGCACTGCTGGGGACAAATCTACTTCGTGGGGTCAGCCCTTGCTCAGAAGCTGGTGAGGATCAATCCTCAGCCAGCCAGCCTGAGGGCCCACTCTATTGACAGATGGACCAATAGCAATCAAGTCTAAATTGCAATGGGAAATTTCAACAAGGAACATTCCTAGAGCACTTGCTTGATTGCACCACTAAGCTCCACAGGCCACCATACTAACACTGGGTGGCAGAGTAGATCTACCTAATGTACAAAACAAATCAAGAGAGCAGGCTAAAACAGAGAGACAAAAAGCACGTTCCAAATGAAAAACAAAAAAAATAAGAGAAATCCCCAGAAAAATAACTAAATGAAATAGGCAAGCAATCTATCAGAATTCAGAACAATGGCTATAAGGATGCTCAATGAACTTAGGCCAAGAATAGTGAACTCAGTCAGAACTGAAAAAAGAGATTTAAAATAAAAAAGAACAGAAATGATAAAAATGAACATTTCCTAAATAAAGAATACAATATCTTAAATGAAGAATACATATATATCAAGAGGAGGTGGGATGACACAGAGTATCGAATTGGAAATCTGAAAGACAAAGTAGCAGAAAATAACAATGCAGAACAACTAACAGAAAAATGAAATTTAAATAAGGTAAATATTAAGGGAACCAGAAGAGAGAGAGCAAGGAATTAAGCACCTATTTTAAGAAATAATGACTGAAAACTTTTCCCACCTTATGAAGGAAAAAGACAAGTCTAGGAAATGCAGCAAGTTACAAACAAAATGTACCCAAAGAGGCCCACACCAAGACACATCACAATTAAAATGGCAAAGGTTAAAGACAAAGAGAATCTTAAAAGGAGCAAGAGAAAGACAGTTAATTATGGCAGCTACAAAAGAAGCTCCCATATGACTGTCAGCTGAATTCTCAACAAAAACATTTCAAGCCAGAAGGGACCAACTGGCATCAAATATTCAAAGTGATGCAAAGCAAAAACCTACAACTAAGACTACTCTACCTAGCAAGAATATCATTTAAAATTAAAGGAGAAATAAAGAGCTTCCCAGACAAGAAAAATTAAAGAAGTTCATCACCAGCAAACAAGTATTACAAGAAATGTTAGAAACTTCATTAAGAAGGGGGGGGGGGGGGGGGGGCGGGGGACATAGTTATAGGCAATAAATGCATACCTATTGATAATCACTTTAAATGCATATAAATTAAACGCTCCAATCAAAAGACATAGGGTTGCTGAACAGATTTTAAAAAAAAGAAAAAAAAAGAAACACCTCAGAATGAAAAGATACACGAAGTCTGAAAGTAAAAGGGTGGAAAAATGTATTTCAGACAAATAGAAATGAAAAAAAAATTGATGTTTCTATGTCACTGGGTCTATTTTTGCTCATCAGATTCCACATATGAGTGAGATCATATATGATAAAAACTCTCAGCAAAGTGGAAATAAAGAGAACATATCTCAACATAATAAAGGCTATATATAACAAATCCACAGCCAACATCATACTCAATTGGGGGAAATTAAAAAGCATTTCCCTTGTAATCAGGAATAAAATAGGGATAACCACTCTCATCACTCCCAACATAGTACTGGAAGTACTAGTCACAGCAATCAGACAAAAAGAAGAAATAAAAGGCAATCAAATTAGAAAGGAAAGAGATAAAACTGTCACTGTTTGCAGAAAACATGAATCTATGTACAGAGAAACCTAAAAATTCCACACAAAAAGACTACTACATGATAAATGAATTCCATAAAGTAGCAGGATACAAAATAAATATTCAGAAATAAGTTGCACTTTTATACACCACTAGAGGGAGGCCCGGTGCATAAAATTTGTGCATGGGGAGTTGGGGGGTGTCTCTCCCACCTTGGTCTGTACCGTCTCACCATCAGGGACCTTCTGGGGGATGTTCAACTGTCAGCTTAGGCCCAATCCACAGGGATCCAGGACTTCTGGCTCCTAACCACTCACCTGCCTGCCTGCTCACCCCTAACCACTCTGCCTGCCTGCCTGATCGCCCCTAACCACTCTGCCTGCCTGCTTGAATGCCCCTAACCACTCTGCCTGCCTGCCTCATTGCCCCTAATCTCCTCTGCCTGCCTGATCACCCCTAACCACTCGTCTGCCTGAGTCATTGCCCTGGTTTCTTGTCATTCTACTGTTTTGGTCACTGGTTGCTTTTATTATATATGATAATGAACTATTAGTAAGTAAAACTAAAAAAAAAAACAATCCCTTCCTGGCCAGTGATTCAGTTGGTTTGAGCATTGTCTGTACACCAAAAGGTTGCCAGTTCAATTCCTGGTCAGGGCACATAACTAGGTGGCGGGTCCAATCCCCAGTTGGGGCACCAATCCCTGCCAATCCCTGGCTAGGGTTGCACAGGCTAGGGTGCATACAAAAGACAACTTACTGATGACTCCCCCTCTCTGTCTCCCTCCGCACCCCTGGTCCACATTTTCTCTTTCTCTCAAATCAACTTACATATCCTAAGGTGAGAATTAAAAGGAAAGGAGGGAGTGGGGAGGGAGGAAAGAGAAAGGAAGGAGGAGACAATTGTATAAAAAAGCAAACAAACAAACAAAAAACCTCAGAATAAATTTAACCAAGGAGGTAAGAGATCTGTACATAGGAAATAATAAAATATTTAAGAAACTACAAACTACAAGTGCTGGCAAGTATATGGAGAATGCAAACTGATACTATAGAAAACAGTATGGGGTATCCTCAAAAGATTGAAAAATGGTACTGCTGTTTGATCCAATGATCCTACTTCCGAGGATATATCCTAAGAATAACAAAACACCAATCAGAAAGAATATATGCACCCCTATGTTCATAGCAGTACACTTTACAATAGCTAAGATCTGGAAACATTCCAAATGCTTATCAGTACATGAGTGGATTAAAAAACTGATATATTTATACAATGGAATGTGGCTATTAAAAAAAAAAAAAAAAAGAAAAGAAAAAGGGGAGGGAGGGAGAGTGAAAGGGAGGGAAAGGAATCTCTTATCCTTTGCAACAGCATGGATGAACCTGGAGACCATTATGCTAAATAAAATAAGCCAGTCAGAGAAAATACAAATATTGCATGATCTCACTCATATCTGAAATCTAACGAACAAAATAAACTGACAAACAAAATAGACCCAGAGATATGGAAAAGACCAAGGAATCTCAGAAGGAAGAGGGGCAGAGTGGAAAGAGATTAACCAAAGAACTTACATGCATGTATGCATTACCCACTGACACAGACAATAGTGTGATGAAAGCCGTGTGTGTGTGT